TACAATTGACACCCATTGAAACGCATTGAATAAAAAAAACCCTTGCGTAGTACTTTCAAAGACTACTGAAAACATTCAAGGGCAAAATGGGAGAAAAAAACCCAAATGACATAAATATCTTGAAAAACAAAAACAGAAAAAAAATGTAAATATGCTGATTTGTGATTGCAGAATCGGGGTCTTCTGTATGCTTTTTTCATGTATTTTGAGAAAACACGTTATCTTTTTTCAATGAAATGCTACGCGTGTAGATGTGATGTGTATTGGTATTTTTCAAAATACGCAACGAAAATGATAAGCAGTCATTCAAATTCCATCTGTACACATTAAAAACTGTAACATTGATTTTGTACATGTTAGAGGAATCTACGAACAGAATGATGTCATGTTTCAAGTTCCATTTAATTTGGGCCTGTCTAGACCGGTTGTGTATTTAGCGCCCCCAAATGTCGGTGCAAGGGTGTCAGGCCGAGCGCACTTTGAAGTCCACATGGAGCCCCTTACATCTTGGGAGTAAACAGTTTAGGAACGAAATGTTTTAGAACATCAAAAGACGGTCTGGGAACTGGTTGCGCCCGGGCGGACATTTGTCATCTGCGAAGTCTGCGACTTGTTTATTCGTGGGAGACCAGACGTGACAGTGTTTAAGTATCTGTGGGTCAAAGCTTGACAAATGTTAATCGAATCACCGCCGAGGGGCCGGTCAGGGGGCGTGTTATGCAAATGTCGGGGGCAGTGTTTTTCTTGTATTTTGCATCTGTAAACAATAAAAGACTGACGAGGAGCATGAGGAACTTTGAGTGTGATCGCGGAGCAACTGCCCGTCGTTCACTCTTGGAGTTCCATTCCCGTCGGCTGCACCAACAACCTTCCCTGAGTCCAGTTCTTTTGTTGAAACTTGTCCGGGTACAACTCTGATATTACACCAACAGCCAACTCACATTGATGTTGTTCCAAGTCAGGACTCCCCAAAATATATAGATAAGAACGAAGTATTCGAATATTGACAGTGATGTATAATGATACAGTGATGATTTATAATACACCCAATCCGTATGTCCTATGAAACTGTAGACTTGCGTACAGTATCATCAGGCCAAATCTTCTTGGCCCTCTTCCTTCCGCTGTGCAGGAAATAATGTTGCTCATAGTAGGACCACCGTTCGTTTCTTTTTTGGGAAAAATAGTTGCGAGACGGTTCAGCAAAGTCACTAATAATAGCAAAAGCGGCGCTCAGTCGGCAACTCTCACGACCTCGCTTAGAACAGCATCCACTTGTGTGCACATAAAATAAAAGCACAACTTTCAAAATAAAAATTGGACATTTTACAATGACTCCATAGTCACTGTGAGGGCCGATCAGCGACTGCGGGTGAACCAGAAGTGGCCCCCGGGCCGTACTTGACTTGGCCTGATTCAGAGTCTTTATTGAGCATGAGTACTTGTGCTGAGATTCCAACCCAAATGTCAAACTGTGATGCAGATGTGCGAACCACTAGGACACTTTGCTGCTGTCTTGGTTTCCTGTTTGTTTCAAATTGTGCATATTTGCTATGCCACTCATCAATGATGTAGAATCAATCAAAGTGGGAAAAAAAGGGCCGATTTTCGGGACCCGAGACAAGGCGGAGTACCGACGACAAACTCCACATGGGAGGACATGAGCTGAGATTCCAACCTCTGACATAAACTGCCAATGCCGTATTTTTTCCAAATCACAACAGGTTGCGTATCATCCAAGTCTGTTTAATTGACAAGCAAAGCAGTTAAGGTCTGTCAGAAAAATCAATACTTAAAAAATATATATATATTCTCGTAATTCTACTTTTTTTAGTGCTAATTTTGGTATAAAATCGGAGTGAATTGTGGTTCAGCGGGCCGCTAAATGAGGTTTCCCCCATTGCACTGTGTGCCCGAGCACAGTGACGGAGGAATGCTGCCTGTTTGCTTTAGGTTTTGGAGACACTGCAGGCATAATACAGGCTCATTCCCAGAGGACTCTTTTTTTTTTTTTTTTTTTTTTTGGAAAAAAGTTTTTTGCTGGACGAAACCAGTTTCGACTCTCCTTAGTTATTGGAGTCAAAAATGAACTTTTAAATTTAAATAGCTGCCAGATATCAGCAATCTATTTGAATTTTTTTGAGGTGGCTCAATGTTGAGTAGAAGTGTAAGCTACAACTGTCATCAATTCCGTGTTTATAATCATGAATCATTTTTAATCTCGACATATCTCAATGCTGAGTGTAAATGTTGTTTTATCTCATACATCGTGTTTCTGACAGTAATCAATTGCACGTTTGTAATGACATGTTGAGCAGAAGTGTGACGGTGGCATGACCTTGTCCACCGCATTCCAAGCTTGCTGACTGCTTCGTACGCTTTCTCCCCCCTCGTAAGGAATACGCAGAATATTTGCCACAACGTTCCGAGCTCAGCAAGCTGTCAAAAAGTCACGCAGAAATGCGAGGGTCTATTTATTTAACACCGTCCCTGGTGAGCCATGACAGCGGCGGGATTCCCCGATGGCGTTCCCGGCCGGGGTTCCGCTGCGACATGATTATCCCGTCGCGCCCGTCAACGGCCGCCCTCTCCGCCCCGGATCAATGTGCCCGGGCCTGGGCATCAAAATTGGACATTTTACAATGACTCCATAGTCACTGTGAGGGCCGATCAGCGACTGCGGGTGAACCAGAAGTGGCCCCCGGGCCGTACTTGACTTGGCCTGATTCAGAGTCTTTATTGAGCATGAGTACTTGTGCTGAGATTCCAACCCAAATGTCAAACTGTGATGCAGATGTGCGAACCACTAGGACACTTTGCTGCTGTCTTGGTTTCCTGTTTGTTTCAAATTGTGCATATTTGCTATGCCACTCATCAATGATGTAGAATCAATCAAAGTGGGAAAAAAAGGGCCGATTTTCGGGACCCGAGACAAGGCGGAGTACCGACGACAAACTCCACATGGGAGGACATGAGCTGAGATTCCAACCTCTGACATAAACTGCCAATGCCGTATTTTTTCCAAATCACAACAGGTTGCGTATCATCCAAGTCTGTTTAATTGACAAGCAAAGCAGTTAAGGTCTGTCAGAAAAATCAATACTTAAAAAATATATATATATTCTCGTAATTCTACTTTTTTTAGTGCTAATTTTGGTATAAAATCGGAGTGAATTGTGGTTCAGCGGGCCGCTAAATGAGGTTTCCCCCATTGCACTGTGTGCCCGAGCACAGTGACGGAGGAATGCTGCCTGTTTGCTTTAGGTTTTGGAGACACTGCAGGCATAATACAGGCTCATTCCCAGAGGACTCTTTTTTTTTTTTTTTTTTTTCAGGAAGGGAGCCATATTTCTTTTGCAGTCCTTTTGTTGTTGTATGTTTTGTTTTCTCATTTGTTTGTGTGCGAAGCTGCTAAATGTTTTCATCTCAGACAGAGAGCTCAGGTTCACAGTGGAGAACTGCTTGTGTGTGATAATCTTGTGTTACATGAGTCAGAGGTTTATGAAAGGATTTATCTCACCTACATACACCACCATGTAACTTGTTGTTCAAGTGGAATATAATGTCCACCGTTTTGCCTGCTGCTATTTTTTACTGACGGTACATGACATGAGCCCAAACTCAGGAATTAAATGAATGGAAGTAATCCAGCTAACTATTGACGAAAGTTTTTTGACCTACAGCTTCTCTGGACTTTATTGTCTCTGATGGCCAGCATTTTACAATCTGTTCGAAGTTTTATTGCACCCTGCCTACACGTTTTAATGCATTTCTTTCAGTGTTATTAAAAACCGACTGCTTGCTGTAATTATCTTGTATAGCGTTTTTGTAATAATTGACTGTGGCAAGTTCTTTATAGGATGAATACATTTTGCTTTGTATGAAATAGACTTTTACGTCACTTGTCAAATTTGTACTGTAGATTCGATGAGACACAAATTAGATGCTGGCCAAAAGTACAGCTTAATATTTGACTAAGTGGGACTGTATGTAGCAGTAGTGGTTAGGAAGTGGTCTCACAGCTGGGAGGTTTGGGGTTCAAATCCAGCATGTTCTCAAGCTACTTACCACATTTGACCCAAAATTTTAGGGTTGTTCATTTAACCCCAAAAATGGGTTGTTTTGCAGTTTTCATTTGACCCAAAAACCTGTGTGAAATGAAGAACCTATAGAACAACTTCAAAAGTGAACGTCAGTCGAGAAAAAAGAAATCAAATTGGGGCCAAAAATTGACTGATCCCCTAATTTGGTCAATTTGACCTCACAATTTTGTACAAAATATTTTTTTTTTTTTAATTATGACTCATTTTTTATTGTTTCATGCAAACAACCCAGAAAGTCGGGTCTAATCGAACCAAGGAGTTCATTGGGTCATTTTTTGGACCCAGATTGGGTTATTTTTGACCCAACTGTTTTTGGAGTCTATGAATGGTTGGTTGTCCACACATTGTACTCTGCAATTGGCTGGTAACCATTCCAGGGTATAACCTGACCCAAGGTCACCTAGGATAGGCCCCAGCTCAACTGAATACCTTGTGAGAACAAGCAGAAAATGGATCGATTATTTGAATTGTTTTACTTTGCAACAGAATGCTACGAATACTCACCCAAAAAAACCAAACAAAAACAACAACAAAAAAATACATCTAAATGTCCTCCTGCTTAAACTGGATGTCGTCAGTGTGATTCTGAGACATTTAGGATGCAAACTGCATATGAAATCGAAATAACATCCTTTATTTGACTTTTTTTTTTTTTTTTTTTAGTGAAACACTTCATTTCAGCGCCGTCTTTTCCGACGAGGGTAACTGTTCGATGTGGATGTTCCGTCACACATTTCACAACAAATGTCAGACAAAAACCCCGAAGACTCCCCGTTTAAAAGTCTTCCCACTAAATGTTTGTTAATATTTTACCCGCATCTGTGCTTCAACTATTTTCCCCAACCGTTGCTGCAGCTGTTCTGGCGTGGTCTGAGGTATGTTCACGATTCGCAGCTGTTTTTTTTTTGAACAGTGGCTTAGTTATCGTGAAAGAAATCATCAGAATAAGAATGACTATACAGTTTCATTCCACCGTTTCCGTACGCAACAGCTTCAAACAATACTGACATGAAATCCCGACGTAACCCACCGAGGTGAGGTCGAAACATGACGCGGCCGAGGTGGTTATCGAGTGACGGACCGTTAACAAAAACCACAAATGTTGAGCAGCGTGGTGCAAATGGCGCAACACCTCCTTCACCCCTCGGGCCCTCTGCGAGCCTAGCTTGGGTGATTAAACTCCTAAAAGGCCCGTTGGCACAAGCAATGTACACTTTACGACGAGCTTTTTGTTCTGTCCACAAGGTGTCTTTATAATCTGCCTTTCAACACTTTTTAGCAGTGAAACACTAACAATCTTTTTTTATATGATTCCACTGCCTCTGAAACCAACAACTGGCAGGATAAACCGACGATGGCGCAATCCCAGTTGCATGATACAGGACATAATATCGCGGGAGATGTTGCTTCTTTTAGCGCTCACATCCCCCTCGAGGCTTATAAGAAGTCCAATTACGGTGGTGATTTATTTCAGAGGAGCGGGACCGAGTAGAGCCAAGAGAAGGAAAGTTAACACAGTACAAGATGGCCGCTCTTTTGGAGCCCTTTTTCTTAACGCCCGTACATGGGGCTTGTGTTTGAACAAAGTTAGATCATAGAAAGAGTTGTGCTTCACTGAGAAAGGTGAAATACGAAGAGGGGTTGTACATGGAAGGTCCGTGTCCTGCGGGGTAAGCTGCGGTGCGGTCAAGATGACAACTGTATCAGATGAGGGGGGTGCTAAAGCTGAAGGGGTCTGGGGACAAAGGAGAATGTGGAAAGAGTCACTAGTGGGGAGCTGTTCATGGGTGAAATCACATGGAACCCGAAGCAGAACATCAACAGTACATCTACAAGAGAGAAGGCTTGAGGCTGGTAGGGGACACTTGCGGACAAGGTGGTGGTGTTGGGGGAGGGGGGGGGTCGAGAGCGTCACTCACGGTAGAAAACATATTCAGTGTAGCTGGTCCAGATCTTGTCGTCCGTCTGCTCGTGGGCAAAGGCGCAGGTCCCCGTGGAGTTACAGGCAACCATGTGGAAGCCGGCGTCGGCCAGCTTGTCGAAGGCCTGCTCCAGGAAGGTGAACTTGAGATAGTAGCGGGAGGTGTAGCGCTCCGGGGGGCGGTCTGGGTCGCGGCTCTCGTTCAGGGTTTCCCCGAAGACCTCTTTGGCCAGGGAGGTCTTACCGCAGACCATGATCCGAGCCACCCGACGGAATTTGGCATCAGTGTGGGTGTCGCGGCCCAGCGTGTACGAGCCTCGGTAGCCGATGGTGATGAAGCCGGACCGCTTCCCGTCCACGGAGCTGGGCACTAAACTGGCACAGGCTGCCGCCGCTGCGCCAAGCGAGCCCAGATTCCGGGCGGCGTCCACCCCGGGCGAGGAGTCCTCCGGGTCACTCTGACAGCCGTCGTCACCCAGTGAGTTCTGCTTGCTGATTTTGGGTGCCAGTTGCTTGACCAACTCGGGCAGGTTGAAGAACTCGGCCTCCCGTTGCAACCGCCCGCGCTCGGGGAAGTGGTCTGGAAGGACCAGCTGCTGGTCCCGCATGTAGTCCAGGATGTAGCGGAAAAGGAAGCCATCCCGGTCCACGAAGAAACGCCCTTTGGTGTCCCTGGCCAGTCCTTTGGCTGACTTCCGACTGAACATCTCCCACAAAAGAGAGTCTGGCACACTTGTGAGTGTGGAGTAGCGAGTGATGTACACCTGACCGCCGACATTCAGCTCAATGATCTCGGGGAAGGGGACCTCCTCTGCGGATATGCCACTATCTGGTAGAGCCATGGCTGACTTCTTCCAAAGGGACGAATGAAAGTTCACTTGGCAGACTGGATCTAATCGATTGACTGCAAATGCCCCCCAACCCCCACAAAAAAAAAAAAAAAAAAAAAGCAATCAAAAAAAAAAAAAAAAAGAACGCGCCGTCCTCTTTGGCATTATTAAGAACTGTTAAAAAAAGGAAACGCAATCAAAAAAAAAAATAGAAGGTACGCGCCGTTACGTACGCACTATTCTAACAACCGCTTTCACCACAATTACCAAAACATCGTGCATTTCAGGCTGAGGCGTTATGTGAAACAGATATCCTGCGGAAATCCTGCTTGGGTTCGCAGAAGAAGAAGCGCAAGAATTTCACAACTGTCCATAACGACTAGGACGCGTGCATCTCCGCTCGTCCTCTCCAACTTCAATGAGGCAATCCATAGTTGGTGAGCTCCGTGGGCGTCCCGCTGACGAAAAGCCACAAGATGAAGACGACGTTCCACAAGTAGTGAGACACGAGGAAGGTGTACAGGAAGAGCTGAATGTTTTCCATCACTACGAGGTGATCGGCTGGTTAGCTAGGTGCGCTCTCCCTCGGCATGCGCGTGCACACTGAAGCTCTTTTGCGGCTGAGCGTCGAGTTATTCCGCCGACTAAACCACGCCCCCACGCGTTGACGAGCGAGCATCCCGCCCCGCAACCCCCACGACATTTTCCTTACACAATAATCTTTGTTGTTGTTGTTGGTTTGCCGACTTTTTATCGAATTCAAACGCTGTTTGCGTCCTTACATATTTTTTTTTTGTGAATACAGATTTATGTAAATCAACCAGAGCAGTTCAGAAACATTATCTGCAAACATGACAAAAACCTGAAATCCATCAAATTACATTATTATTAAATGTAATAATCTGTGTGGATCGAAGTTTTGCCTGATGATGAATGAACAGTACCATTGCTAATAATTTAAATTGGCCAGCTGCACTACTGATTGTGAAAGGTCAGGGGCGTTGACATGGCAATACACAGAGGCTGAAATCTGAAATTAAAAGAATAGACTGTTGGGAATATATCAATACAATTACACAGAGTAAATATCAGAATTTATCTTGTAGATGTAAATCAGTTATGTTCAGACTAGCTGGTCCAGATTTCAAGATTTTCTTTTATTTAACCCCCGAATCCTCCCATTAGGAAAAAAAAAGCATCACAATTATTTTTGTAAAATAGAAAGTAGGAGCTGTCCTCATATCTGTTTAAACTTTTTGAGCTCTGCTTTATGAAAAATAAAATAAAATAAATATATAATAAACACATTTTTTTCTTTGATATTCCAATTTATTAAGATGCACATGTGTATTTGCCTCATTGGAAATCCATTTCTTTCATTTATAATGGATGATATTGCTAAACTCAATTGCATTCAAGAGCACTTTGAAACAACCACCGCTGCAGATAAAGTGCAGCACATGAAGCAAAAGGAAAAAATATATATATATGTGCTGCAAAAGGAAAAAAAAAAAGAGATATATATATATATATATATATATATATAAAGAGAAAACAGTTCAAACAATAAATTAGGAACATAAAAGCAGTAAAAAAAGCACAGAATTCTGCAACATAACTGTGTCATGATTCTGTTCTGGTTGTCCTCCAGCAGGTGGGATTGGAGGGCCGCCCTCTCCCGTTCCGCACCTGTTGCACATCATGCCAGAACTCTTGCCTGTTATAAGGGACTGATCAAGCCATCACCAGTTGTCGGAATATTCGCCTTGCTCACATCCAAGCACTGATTTTCTAGACCTTTGTCGATCTCGTTCCTAGTCCTGTTTATTTCTCTTATTGGCTTTGTTTTGGTATTGTTATCCTCAGTGTATTTTTGTTTTATTTATTGATTTGACTTTTCCTTGTCATTTTTGGACAAATGATTTTGCATTCTTTATTTCTCTTGCCTTTTGCAAGCCCTTTTTGTGGATAGTGTTATTTCGCCCTGCGTTTTTGCAGCAATTTATGTTGCACTTTGTTGGTCCACTCCTCGTCTGCATTTTCTGGAATTTGGTCCAGAACCTTAACAGTGTCTCAGGCGGAGTCAAAAGCCAAAGAATAAAACCAGCCCTGACAACAACCACTCGCTACACTCCATATTCAGCAAAATAGTTTTCATTGAGTTACATTCAAATTAATCTCTTAATCCATATAAAGTGTACTTTGTTAAATTGGGTTAGGTAGGTATTTAAATCTTGCATAGCGTGAATATTACACATATGGTGTCAATAAAAGTTCTAAGTTACTGGTAAGTATTTGATATGCTAAACCTTTTTTTTATTTTTTAGCAAAAATGTAATTTAAATGAGTTAACAAAATTAAAAAGCAGTTTATGACGTGATCAGACAGGTGTGAAATTTGTCCCAGCAAAATGTGATTACAGTGACATCTAGCGAGCACTATGCAGTTGTGTCCCCCTGCCGTTGAAATTGTGGCAAAAAATGTCCATTGTTGTCCAGCACCTACTTGGTTTTGGTTATTTGAGCATGAGTTTCCTGCAGACATATCATAAATTATTCATTATTAATCATCATTAATTTAAAATACCCCAAATTTTATTTGAATTCATAGACTATGAAAAACATACCCTTATTAAATTACAGCTAATGACTATTCAATAAAATATTTTGGTATATTTTTTGGGGTCTGAAATCTTTTTTTCTTTTCCAAGATAGATGCAGTTTTTGAATCAAGGCAATGACGTTATCATAGTCTAGTAAAAAAAAAAAAAAAATATATATATATATATATATATATAGTAACACAAGTGCATGTCAGTTCTTCATTCAGAGCCTTCCTCAATACTCACAATGAATGAATCAATTTTCAAGCACACTTCCAAAGAGTTTGCACATTTCTGGTGCATTTGTTATAACTTCTAAACGTGGAGTGAAATGACACAATTAAAGCCACCTCCAAGTGTCACACATGCAAGTGCACTGATGCCCTAGGAGTCAATAGTTGTCTTTTGTGAGTGATAGGCTGCTCATTTTTTTGCTGACTCTAATCGCCCCCCCACCCCAACTGAAAGCATTGTAGCATTGTGATTTCCCACAGGGCTCTCCAATCTCCGGCTACTTGGAAGCAATTCGTCCGTGTTTGAAAAACATCTGGATCGGTCCACTCTTGTTAAATGCCAACTCCCTGCTGTTCCCGTTCACTGTAATATGCAAAAGCTTATGCTGCAGCATGACCCTGCATCACATGCAGCTGAGACTAATCTAAATATTTTGTTTTATGGACAGTTTTTTGACGATTTAAAAAGATTAAATTATTCTGCAATTTGACAACGGATGATCACTTGTGTGTGCACATCCGCATGCGTTACTGTGTTTTCTTCTTGCAGGTGCATCATGATATAATTATAATCAGCACCACCGATATCTGTAAAACACATCAAATAAATGGCAACGGCATTTTGGACACAACTGGATGATCTTCCGATGCTCTCATCCATGATGATGGCCCTTTAGTTTGTCAAACTCAACACAAAACAAAGGGAATTGCATATTGAGTATTTAAAAGAAGCACGTAGCCTAAAAGTCTGCTAGTTCAATACCAACACAAACTGGGAAATGACAAACGGGGTAATGGGAAGCATTAGTGTTTTACTGTTATAAGCAACGGATGTTTGACTACAAACAGTGGAGCGGCACGAAAACATATGACAAACCTCACAGGCAGATATTCTTTGTCCTCTACGAAGAACAACAAATATGACTGCAGTTTGAGGAGGAGCTGAGACCAGCTCCATGTACTGTATTTACCTTTCATATCTTGAAATTTCTTTCGTAACAAGAGGCAATATTTTCCAGTTCAGGCATTTCGCAACTTCAAATTTTCGTATGAGGAGACGTTCGTAAGTAGAGGTACCACTGTACAGTATTTCTCAATGGCTCTATTGTATTGCCCCCTTGTGGCCAGGGCGTGTACACCAAAAGGAGCAATCAATGTTTGTTGAATCAAAAAAATGTGGCAAAAACTGGACTTCAATTATGTCATTACTTTACATTTTTGTAAAGTAGAATATTGTAGTTCTATTTTTATTATTAAAAATACATTACAAACGCTAGGTGTTTTTTTTTTTTTTTTTTTTTTTTTTTACTGGTAGGCTGGAACAGATTATGAGCATTTCGACAAATTAAAGCTAAAAATAAATTGACCTTGGCCAAAGAAACTATTTGCAACTAAAATAGTAACACACATTCTCTTGATAAAGCTCTGCTAAAAAATATATATTTCAGGTGGTTCGTTCTGCCTTATATCAATGTCCTCACCCAGTGGTTCTTAACCTTTTTAGAGGTACCGAACCCAACCAGTTCATATGCACATTCACCGAACCCTTCATGAGTGAAAAATAAAAATTAGACTTTTTTACAAATTCATGACATAAAAAATGCATTTATTAAAACCAGAAAAAAGTAAATACAATTTCAAGACATAAGTATAATTTTTTTTAATTGTGCACAAAATAACGTACTGTCGGGATAGTCACACGTTGACAACTGAGCGAACTAAATTTCCCTCAGCACTGATTGGACAAGCAATGTAATGTGATCATCTGCAGCCAGTGATGGCCAAGCGGGCGTGTCATAACTAATTGACATGTTGAGTCGGGTGTGTTTTAACCTCCATGGCAGAGGCTCCATGGAACCCCTGAGACCGATTCACCGAACCCCGGGGTTCCCATCGAACCCCAGGTTAAGAACCACTGGTCTAACCTATTTGTCTGATCAACTTTAACATCAAATTATAAATAAAAAAATGTTACCCTTAAAACAACTACAAAGTATAACACCAACCCATCCATCCATTTTTTGATCCGCCTTTGCTCACAAAGTGGGCGTGCTGGAGCGTACCCCAGCTGTCCTCGGGCAATAGGCGGGGATACCCTGAACTGGGTGCCAGCCAATCGCAGGGTACATATCACATTCAAACAATATTGAATTGCTTGATGGATTGGTTTTAAAGTCTTTATTCAATTAAAAATTGAAGAATTCCAAAGTGGCCTTGCATCCTTTGATTTTTTCCGGATGCGACCGTCAGCAGAAAGAATTTGGACACTCCTGCTCTGGGGCATTGAAGTGGGGGTGTGTTTGATGTCGTGCTGACTCCAAACAAGCAGATAATTGAGCTGCCACAGCAGCTGATCACATATGGAGTGGTGCTCCCTGACAAGACAGCCTCTCGCGCTCAACTCTTAGACGACGCTGCGAAATAAAGGGAGGATTTATGACCAGCATTTTGATCAGTATAGCCTTGGCGGTTGCTATTGGCAACCATGTCAGAATGCAAGAGATGTTCTTGGAAAGTGAACAGGCTGTTACATTTCGAAGCGCATGGTGCTGGAGTGAATTCATTCGTCTCTGTTGTACTTTGCATCATACATTATAGCGATCTATTGTCAGGGTCACAGGGAGCTCGACACTATTCTAGCTGCCCAAGTGAACTGGCCTTGATAAAGGTGTGCTGTCAAATTTTAGACCTGTTTCCAAGTTGCCTTCAATTTCAACAAATTGTGGAAAAAGTGGTGCACACTCAGCTGAAATATTTTGAGGATGAACATCATGGTGGTTTTCCAGCCAGATTTTAAAATGCTGCACAGCATAGAGTCAGCCCTGTTGTGAATTTTTAACGACATTTTCCTGGCAAATGACGCCGGAGACTATTATGTGTGTCTTTTTTTGTTGGATGTGACTGCAGCATTTCATACGGTGGGCCACAGTATCCTGTTGGCTCGTTTGCAGCACCAGGTGGACATTTGTGGTAGCGCTCTAGAAGAATGGTTTGCCAGACAAGACTTTTTGCATTCGTCTTGGTTGCTCTGAGTCCCACTCTGCCGCACTGCCTATGGTGTTCCACAGGGTTCAAATTTGGGGCCTCTGCTGTGTTTGCTTTCCCTGGGTTCTCTAGCATGCTATTTCCTTTTGCTGTTATACGGATGATAGGACGCCCTTTGTCCTGTCTCGAGGAAAGCAAAGGCTGAATGGCACTAAACTTCTTGAACTTCATCAAAAAGAAAACAGAAGGTATGGTTTTTGGTCCAAGTGGTCTTGTACATTTCACGCTGATGACTTGAGCCTCCTTGCATCTTTTCGAAAGTCAACAGTCATTTTTTTTAAAAAACGGACAGTAATTTTAAATTGTGGTCAAGGTTTTTTGCCCCAAATTCTTTTATTTGTCTTTAAATCTTAATGGTCACACCCCACCTGACCTCTTTGGGTTCCTCCACCTCTACACAGCTGCCCGGTGCCTCACGTCAGCGAACCAGACGCGAATGGAGGTACCAAGGACTAAATGTAGCCTCAAAGGGGATCAAGCTTTTTACGTTCTTTGCCTAGCATGAGACTTGGCATTCTTTTAGTGTTTTATTATATATATTGTTTTGGCGTTATTCATCTGTCTTTGTTTTTAAGTCTAATTTTTACTTTAGGTACAAGACTTTGAATGCAACTGTAGCTGGTTTTGAAGCGTTTCATAAACTGAGATAACTTCGGGCAAAAGTCAGACACATTATAGTAGATTTTTCACACTTCTATAATTTACCTGAATATTTTGTGAATAACTTTTTACATTTACTCTTATACTTCTAACTGCGAAAGGAACTCTTGAGATTGGACTCCGTAAAACAGCTGTGATGGCTTTGGATGGCATGGGGTCAGAGGCCAATTGACGGATACAGCTACAGTAAAACTCAACACAGAACTACTTGCTGCCTCAAGCTTTTTTTTTTTTTTGCTTTTTTTGGTCAAAAGGTGGCTCGTATGCTGACTGACCTTAGGACTGTTGAATCTCAAGTTAACCACAATCCTTTGCGACACCGGTTTACTTCCACGTCTCATTTCAAAACACATTTTCACCACAGCCAACAATGTAAGGAGATTTCCTTTGTCCCATAGACAAACCGTCGCAATCATAAAGCTTTATAAAAGTTTTTAAAAAGCACTCATTTTCTGTATATTTCAACCGTTAACATACATGTCTAAAAAAAAATAAATGCCTCTTCACCATTTGAAGACGCCGGCTGACATGACATGGAAAGGGAAGGATAAATTTGTGAAGAGATACCGTCACCTCGTGACATTTTATAGCTATTACTTGATGACTGTGCTGGCATTCAGCATCCAAAAACGTCTTAGCTTGTTAGTATGTAGAAGTTGTCGGTAACAATTTCTGGGTTCAGTGGTTTACTCCACGCTTTTCCTCGTTGCCATCGTTGTTATACCCATTTGTAGTGGCATCTTAAAAGAGCTCAACAGGTGACCATCCTTGTCAGTACATGCTGAGTTGATGTCTCACGTGAAATTCCATATGATGGTTTGAACTCCCATTTATTGTTCAAGTGTTGAGGTATTTTTCAACTGGACATAGTTTGAAATCCATTATCTGAATCGCTTACGAGGGTCGCGGATGCATTGGAGCCTATCCCAGCTGTCTTCGGGCAACAGGCGGGGGGGACACCCTGAACTGGTTGCCAGTCAATCGCAGGGCACACAGAGATGAACAGCCATTCATGCTCACACTCACACCAAAGGACAATTTAGAGCAGGGGTGTCCAAACGTTTTCGTTTGAGGGCCACATACAGAAATATGGAGGGATGAAAAGGCCACCTTAAAACTCTTCAACTTTTTGAATCACGCTAAAGTTAGTCAAGAAAGCAATTATATATTGCTTGTACCATCTACTTAATTTCATCAGCTTTCTGTTAAAGGTGTTTTAAGGCAAAGAGTTGAGGATTTTTCGGCTGGCCAACAGACCTCCATTTACAGAATAGATCCAGCTCTGCACTTAACAGCAGCCAAATCCCATCTCCAATTTAAAAAAAAAAAGAAACTGTCATAAGGTGACCATTTTTCAGTTACTTGAGGATCATCAATGTGATGACTTCATAAATCAGCCATAGAGCACCAAGTGGAAGAAACAATGTTTTTGCCTTTGAATTGAATGATCTTGATTCACTAGGGTTTTGAAGATAAATTGTGTTATTCTTTTCACTACAACTGTTGATTTGTATCTTCGAATACAGAGAAACAGACAGAATATAAATACATTTATTAGTAGATTTCTCTGACTTCCTCCCTTCTCACTCTGCCTTTTCTAACTAACCTTGCACCCCATGTCAAATGTCCTTTTTAGTATATATATATTTTTGTCATGTCACGGGCCGCCGAAAAATTAATGTGGCGAGCTGCAAATGGCCTCTGGGCCATAGTTTGGACACTGTTGATTTCGAGCATTCAGTCAACCTACCACGCCTATTTTTGGAATGTGTGAGGAAACCGGTGTTCGCGGAGAAAACCCACTCAGGCATGGGGAGAACATTCAAACTCCATACAGGAAGGCCAGGGACCAATCGGACCGCTGTGAGGCGGACGTGCTCACCCGTCGTCCGCATTTTGGTCTTTACTACATTGATGTATGTAATATGGGATTAACAAGTTACATTATTCTGCGATTGGCTGGCAACCGGTTCAGGGTGTCCCCCGCCTACTGCCTGAAGACAGCTGGGATAGGCTCCAGAACCCCCCGTGACCCTAGTGAAGATAAAGCGGTTCGGAAAATGAATGAATGAAAAATGACATTATTCTGTTGACACAAAATGTTACTCGGACTAAATCGCAGTTTTCATTATCAAAAAGAACACGAGGCATAAAAAGATATTTTTGTTTATTTTGGTTTCTTCCCCAGCAGTAGTTTATCCACAATCAGTTTGAAAGGAAATATAGACGATGGTACATGAAATGCAGGGATTTGAGTATATACCACAATTTTATGGAGACAGCTTATGTGCATACTTTATAGACTAATGCCATTATGATGACCACTGACAAGAGTATAACTCCAAATGTGGGATTGGGCTAGGTTTACACGGAGGACTGCAGGATGAGGGTCTGGGGAAACTTGTTAGTGAGCACAAACCAAACACAAAACCCAAACACTTCGCCATGGAACAGAACAATAAATGGTTTCACCCACCACTTTCCACAACTGTATTGTGCCCACTTGCTATAGATAACATTTAGCCACTCACAAGGCTGTGTAATCATTTATGCAGGGTTTATATGTATATATACCCATATACATGCATAAACCCCATACATGTAATTCAAATACAAAAAAATACAAGTTATTAAAGTGCCTTCTACTGACTCAACCGCAATCTCTGAGAGAATGGTATTGATACAGTATGTTGAGTTTAAAAAAAAATAATAATAAAAAATCGGATTGGCTGAGTCCATCAGTGCTTAAGTGAGAAAGACCAGCAGATGTAAGGCATGATTGCAACTGTATTGTTAGCTGGGCACCCCTGTGTCATAGGTAACATCATACACGATATATATTGGTCACGGGAAACCACCAAGTGGTTAGCGATTACGAAGCAAAGAGATTTTGCCAATTCAAAAACTGTCATTATGTAGCACCATCCTAATCATGTTTTGTTTGACCCGACTGAGCCGATCAGTCCTGAAACCCCGACTGAGCGTTTCATAGATTTTGAACAGATTGTGGCCATCAAACAATATTCATGTGAGGGAAATGTAAAAAGGTGGGAATAAAACGGTGAACTAAGGTGCGTCCTGTATTTCAACATCACTAAAAGGCTTTCTTGGAGCTTGAGAATGGTGCAACACATAGCAGTGAAAACAAATGGTGAGTTAAAAACCGATTAATAAAGATACTAGTCGGTAGTACAGAGGAAAACTGAACTGATGCTCATGGACCGGCATTTTCTATCTACCAACACAGTTATTCTCCTGCAGCATTTCAGCTGAGTGGGTATAAAAATATAGACATTTGAAAACCTGAATACAAGTTCGTACGTGATTTTTTTTTTTTTTTGGGGGGGAAAAAAATTTACACTTGTCCCACTCAGTGCACACTGTCATATATATTTTTTTGTCATATATATATATTTTTTAAAGATTTCACTCCCATCTAAAATGTGTTCTGGCATTAGGAGAAGGAGCTTTACACCCATTACAACACAGAACGGCAAATATAATGTTGTTGCCTTCGATAGCCTACACCATTGAATTTTTAATACACTAAAATTACCTCCAAGTGTGTGACACAGATTGACGGGGGGCAGGTTTGGGTTGATCTTTAAGTGTGATGACATTACATTAACATGTCTTTGTGGTGTCTATGCATGTGCTGGCTCTTCTCTGAAGGCCTCCTAAAGCCCTTGGTGCAGAAGTCGCAGCGGTGGGGGTAGTCCTTGGTGTGAATGGAGATGACGTGGCGCTTGAAGCCAGAAGCGTCCGTACTGTTGTATTCACAATACTGGCACTGATAAACCTTCCTACCGCTGTGCGTCTTCATGTGCTTCTTCAGCTCCGCCGGCTGCCGAAAGCCCCGACGGCACCGCTTGCACTTAAACGGAAGTTCCTTGGTGTGCAGGGAAAGAATATGGCGACTCAGGGTGAACGTGTCGGGGGCGTTGAAGTTACAGTGCCGGCACTGGTGCACCTTGCTGCCCTTGTGCGTCTCGGCGTGCTTCTTCAACTCCGAAGGCCTGTGAAAGCCTTTCTCGCACACGTCACACTGGTGGGGGAAGTCCTTGGTGTGCACAGAGATGATGTGTCGTTTCAGGTCACTGGAGTTGGTGCTCTTGTGCTCGCAGTGCGGGCACTGGTGCGTCTTGTGGCCTTGCACCATCTCGATGTGACGCTGGAGTTCTCGCGCATCTGCGTACGCCTGTGGGCAGTGGCTGCACTTGAAAGGCAGATCCGCGCCGTGCTTGCTCTTGATGTGAGTCTTTAGGTTGGACTGATCTGCGCAGCGGAACTCGCAGTGCGGACAGTGATAAGGCTTCTCGCCCGTGTGGGTCCGCATGTGTTTCTTCAGCTCGGACGGGTGGCGAAAGCCTTTGGCGCACTCGACGCACACGTGAGCAAAGTTCTTACTGTGCACGGCCAGCAGGTGGCGATTGAGCAAGCCCTGCTCTGCCGTCTCATAGTCACAGTACTTACAGTGATGCAGCTTGGGCTCGCGGTCCTTGACGATTAGTTTGTCAGAGCCCAACGGGCTGGACTCGTGATAGCGCCGGGCGTACTCTGTGTATTCCGGTGAGCGCTCGCTGTTGTGGCTTAGCAGCTTGTGACTCTCCAAATGGTTGTGGAAACTGATCTTCTTGTTGGTGGTGAAGTCGCAGTCTGTACACTGGTACTTCTTCTTGAGGAGGTGGTCCGGGTGGTTTTTCATGTGGCATTTGAGGAAGCCTCGTGAGCGGAACTTCTTTCCACATATGTGGCACGGGTAGACTGTCAGGGGCATGCCATCCGGCCCGATGATGACAGCTGAAAGAGGTAGTTGCGCAAACACACAATCATTTACCATATCCAAAGGCAGTAAGAGGAAGTGCGTAACGCTCCTACCAGTCTGACACTGCCGAACGTCCCCTTTCTTCTTTTTCTTGGCTTTGGGTTTGAGGCCACGGTTCGTCGGCAAACCTTCTCTGATTTGTAGAAATGATGTCGCCGCACCATTCTTGACCTCATCTATAGTCTTACCTACGAAAACCCAGTAAACGCTTACTAACACAGTCCTACTGCATCTCTGGCTGAATCTACTTGATATATACAGCCCAGTTAATGACAATGCACAAAAAACTTTTGAGACAGTCCCACAAGAACATACTTATGTCATCATCATCCTCATCGCTGTCCTCGTCGTCATCCTCTTCGATTTTGGGCTGTTTCTTGACTGCCATGTAGACCATCTTGTCACGGCCAACCCCGAGTCTTCCAGATGAGGCTGCTTCAAGGTCAGGGTGGCCATTTTGGTAATCGTCCTCAGTTATCACCTCTGTTCCACCTGTAAAAATGGGGGGTGTTAATCCCTAATTCTTCAAACACAACAATGAATACAATACTGGTTGAGCGACTTGCCCAAATCATCATCTGCCTCAGCTTTGAAAATGTAGACTTTGATGACTTCCGCGGCGGCGTCTTCTTTGCACTCCTTGTCTTCCATCACCTCAGTGCTAATCTCGAGAGGGGTGTCTCCTATGTCCAGCTTTTCTCCCACCTCATCCACTAAACAACAAAAAGATACAACATTCAAAAAGCTGGCGGACACAACGAGAAACACTGTCGGAGATGGAAGACTATCTTACGGGAGATCATGAGGTAATCTTCGGAGCTGCTTCTCCCGTCGTCATCCTCATCCATCTGCAGGGGAACAGCCTCAGATGGAAGCTGCTGGTGAATGATGGTCTCTGCATTGGCCTCTGTCACCATCAAGCCCTCTGCTACAAGTTGGTGATCCAGAGTGTTATCCTGATGGTCCGAAAGAAGCTCTGCTACAAACACCTGGTCTGACATGTCGTCATGGTGGTCGGCATCTTGGATAAGGTCAGAGGTCAGCACATGGTGGTGTTCCAAAGCCGCCTCTATTGCAACCTCCGTTCCCAGGATGTTGTCCGGCATGATCACACTATGCTCCGAGTGCACCATGTCCTCATTGCCTATTTCGTGACCGTCCACGTCCTGAGAATGCAGGCTTTCTACATCCACCTCCAGACCCTCTACAACTTCTGCTTCCAAGCCTTCCACTTCCACTTCCTCCTCAAGGCCCTCAACAATTTGAGCTTCCAGGTCCTCCACATCAACTTCAGATTCCAGTCCCTCGACCACATGTGCCTCCAGACCCTCCACCTCGACTTCTCCGTCTAGGCCTTCCACAACCTGCGCCTCCAGCTCCACCACTTGTGTCTGTAGCCCGTCAACCACCTCTGCCTCCAGACCCTCCACATCTGTGTGTAAACCTTCGACAACTTCGGTTTCCAGGCCTTCGACGACCCGAGTCTCCAGGCCCTCAACCTCCAAGCCGTGCTCCAGGAGGATGCCCTCGTCCGTCATCACGTCAGAAAGAAGCATGCCCTCGGGCACGGACACCACAATGTGATCACCGTCGATGTGTGCCAAGCCACCCATCCCTGCAACTGTTAAAATGAGAGACATTACTCGGAGAACAGATCACACTTACGACAGAAGAAACAAGAGGCACCTCAACTCTTTAATGCCTAAAACTAATAAAACATGGAGCTAAAAATGCTCACTGTACTACGAGGGGAATCAGTGACAGTGTTTGTTACGAGTTCTCATTCATGGTTAAAGCGATCGTGTGTTTGTTGCTTTGAACATACAGTGCTGTGAAATAGTGTTTGCCCCCTTCCTGATTTCTGTGTTCTTTGCATATTTATCATATACAAAGGTTTCAGTTCCTCCCACATTCCAAAAACATGCATGGCAGGCCGATTGAACACTCTAAATTGTCCCGAGGTGTGAGTGTGGATGGTTGCTCGTCGATGTGTGTCTTGAGATTGTCTGGCAACCGGTTCAGGGTGTCGCCCGCCTACTGCCCGAAGACAGCTGGGATAGGCTCCAGCACGCCCCGCGACCCTTGTGAGGATAAAGCGGATCAGAAAATGGATGAATGGATACAAAGGTTTCAGTTTATCAAACCGATTTGATATTAAAATGACTTTTTCACATAGGAACAGGTAGATTTGGATTGTGTGTGTGTGTGTGTGTGTGTGTGTGTGTGTAAATAAATTAAATTGGCATGTAGAAACTGCGTTTTGTATTTCCTTCTGTGTGAATTAAAAAGGTTTGATTAGCTGAAATCTCTGTGTGTGATAAAATATGCAAACACAGAAACCAGGAAGGGGGCAAACACCTTTTCATGACAGAGTAATATAAATATGGCTTACATTTGCTTATACTTATATGATAATTATCCATTCATCCATCTTCCATACGATTTGTCCTCATTCGGGCCAGAATTCAGCTGGAGCCTATCCCAGCCGTTCTTTGGGCGTGAGGCGAGTTATACTTGGAATAGTTGCCAGTCAATCGCAGAGAAGATACATACAAATAGCAATTAACACTAACCCATGGATAATTTACAATCTGAATCAAATATGTATGGATTTTTTTTTTAAAACATTGTAGGAATAGCTTTGGACTCCAGACGGTTTTAATGTTAAGACATATTTTGATAGACCAGCCTTATAGAAACAAAAGATTGAAAACATCACTCATCATTTTTGCGACATTAGCTTTCGTGAGCCCGGTCGTATGCCATACTGTATTCTGACAAGCGCTACGGCAGTAACGAGACAAGGCTGTAAAGCACAGGTGTCAAAGTCAAGGCACTGGGGCCAGATCTGGCCCGCCAGATCATTTTATACAGCTCACGAAAGCAAATCCCGCATGTCAAGTTCCATGATGCTTGCTGAAGTCTGAACCAAATTTTCAAATTGTCATGTCATCCACAAAAACAGTCATTATTCTTGACTTCTGATTTCAAAATAAGTGAAACATAAATTTGTTGTGCGCTGTGTATGTAATATGTGGAGGGGACGAAACATTCATATGGTTTCCCAAAATTTATAATGGCCCTCCAAGGGAAACCGTAACTACAATGTGGCCCGCGACAAAAAGGAGTTTGACACCCCTGCTGTAAAGTGTCCTGGCGTTTGCTATTCTATCATGAATAAAATTCTCATTAGCACACAGCTGTTGCCCACGCATTATGGTACTTAATAATCGGGCGATGAAGTTTTACTTTACATCATTGCCCTTGTTCCTTGCCGCCACTTCATTATCCGTGCAGCATAAAAGGCTGCAAGTCATCTGGCCCGGGATTGGCACGTCTCAATTCTACGCACAACATACATGTGTCAAACATAAAACCAAGCTTAACAGTATACAATTGTGATACTCTTTCAGGTTCAACTGCATGTCACTGTCACGGTAGTCATACTCCGGCTGCAAATAATATTTTTTGGTAGTAAATTAAACTATGATTTTTTTTTTCATCCCTGAAATTTGTTATGATTAAGTTACTGGGGCCTGGGAAAACTACTGATAATGTATTTTCTGAAATAAAAGCAGATGTTTGCAAATGTCATCTATTGATTAAAAGCAAAAGATAATTAATGCACTTTTGTGAAGGACTGCAGAAATCAGGGAATGTTTATTTATTTCCGTCCATCTTTAAAACTCGTCTTAAACACATTTTTATTCTTTGGCTTTTGAGTCAGCAGGAGACTGCATGTTTTTGTGTTCACTCTTTATGTTATCAATTTCTTGTTTTAACTTTCTTTATGATTGTATGTCTGTTTTGTTTTTTACCTTATGTACAGCACTTTGTATGCAGCTGTGGATGTTTTTAAAGGGCTCTATCCATAAAGTTGAGTTCTGGTTTTATAACTGAGAATTTCCGCACCACAATGATTTCGTACAACACTTAATTAAATGCACGTTACCACCCACCAAAGTCTTGCATGATCATAGCGTGGGGCATCTTCAGCTCCTGTGTGTGTAACTCCAACACACCCCCTCCTTGGTCCATGTTTAAGCCGGAGAAAAAGAAAACTGCCTGAAAACTATAAATTATAAATCATGAGCATTGCAAGAGTGTGCATATAATTAGTGAAAATATATGAACACACAATTTAAAAAATACCTTCACATTTGATGCGCAGAACCTTAAAATAAAAACAGCATTTAAACGTGCTTCTTCCCACCAATGCAATCGATCCCTCTGGTAAAAACAAAGCCAAGCCATTAGTCACCACAATGACAGTGCAATGTGTTGAGATCAATATTAGTAAGAATATATTTTCCAATTCAATATCCCTAAAAGACCATGTATGCTGCAGAGGTAATTACTGTACAAGAAGCATATGGTAGTGCACTAGAGAAGTGGGAAGGCATGTTGTTGACCACTGGCTCCGTCCTCTGCCAACCAATAGTACTACAGGCGTCTTTAACTTGGGTGCATTTAACTGTACACCTGGAGCGAGTTGAGCCTGATGGTGAGGTCTCAGGTGGGGAAAGCGAGCTGCCCCGTTAGGTGGGCAGGACAAGCCCGCCAGTGCTGCCACTGTGGGAGTCCTCCTGCATGTTATCAGTGGGAGGAAATGCACTATCGTCACTCAATGCAAAAAAAAGTACGATGGCGCTCAAGTGCAGTCTTTTAATACGCATAATTTCTAGTTTCTACGCATTGACAGTTTAGCCATAGTACTCTTCTGGTCTGTAAATATGCCCGGAGATCAGGCAGGTTTAATGTACTGCAGATGTTATGCAATGTTTTCACCAAGGCTTGCTACCGCTCGCTTCCCACCCAGCGAAGCTAACTAGCAAACGAGCTACAACTGATCCGGCCAGCGCCATTTTGTTTTAGCATCGTGGCTAAACGTCCACGCTTGTTAGCGCATTTAAAAGCACACATTCCCACTTGAACCGCACGCAGCGGTACAAGGATAACAGCGTCGTCGGGCAAAGCGACGAACGAACGTGTCACAATGTATCAGTTGGAGGTTTGCTCGAACCTACGCAGTCCGTCTGGCTAGCTAGCCTGCTATGCTAGGTGGCGCCGCCTGTGCCGCATTATGTCCGTGTTGTTTTTTCCACAAGGCTCAAAGAGGCCCGCTACGGCCGACTGGGCCCTTGCGGATTAAACCACATTCCATTCGGATTGGTCCCAAGCAAATTTACCTGATAACGTCGTCTTCGGACTCTTTTGGTGTTTCTCCCCCTCCTCTGTTTCGTCTATTATTGTTTTTGGTTTATTTTTGACGGTAAGCTAAGTGCGGCCTGCAGTTTTGGATCCCCGGGCACTCTTTGCTAGGCCTCGACCAATCAGCTTGCTTCCTGACAAGCTGAGGGAGGGCGGGGGGCAGACAATGCGTGGCCTCGTTTACCGCTGATCCCTTACTATTTGCGTCATGCATAAGAGAGTAGTTACACTAACAGGCATTCTATTAGTGGGGACACAAAATGTGCACTATGCTTGCGAACGAAACGTAGGTATCGCCACGCGAACCCTTGAAAAAAAATCCGAATGATCTACTCGGATTTTTAGTTAACACAAATGAGGCCTGTGACGATGGGTGTGGTAGCATTTTTGGTCATCCACACCCGGGAAACGACAACGTCCTGCCACTGCAGCAACACTCGATTGAATCCTTGTGAGCATGTGATGCAAATGGGCAAAATAAGGCAAAGGCGCGCGCGCACACACACACACATTACGTTTGACACCAAACTTTATTATACATTTTTATTCTAGTTTATTTTCATAAATTCTCTACAAGAGAGTGAAAGCTGTCCTCAAGCAAGAGGCCCGTTTTGCATAAACAATTTCAGTAGATTCCAAAACACTCAAGCATCCCAATCCGGCAATGGATATGCAATACCAATGCATCAGAATAACGATAACTTTGATGACCAGAGAAATAGATTTAGAAAAGTTGTTGCAGCTCAAATGTGCCTTGGCACAATCCATGTATTTTGAAAGTTTATTTTAAATATCAATGATGGCAGTGTGGTAATGTTGCAGTTTACAAGAAATTCTCAGATTGTGCGACAGAGAGCAGACAGAGTTGTCATGTAACAGTTAAATACCAATGAGAATGGAAACAACCAACCAACCAAAAAAAAAAAAAAAACAAAAAACATCAAGCATGCGTTACTTACTGCCTCCATCTAGTAGGAATTCACACAGAAAATGAACAACTTCCTTCAAATCTTCATATCGATAACATCAACAAGCAATTACAATTAATGGAAATTACAGCAGTTTCTCACAATTACCATAGAAAAATAAGTCAAATTGACCCAAACAAATCTCCTGGAAGCTCTTCAGATTGTCCATATAACATTTATTGGCATGGACCTTCTTGTTTGTCAACGCAGCCATGCTAGGTATTCTTGACAATATTTCATGCAAGATAAAGAGATGAGTCTTGACTAAATCCAGTCTAGACTTTTTTGCAAGATGTCACTGAAAAGAGGTTAAGCGAAGATTGCAGCAGTGAACACTTTTGTCGGGCATCAGACTTCAGTAGCAGCCATCTTTCCAGGATTCATCGGAGATTTTTGCCATGCCCATCGACCTGTTGATAAAATCCAAAGTCTTTATTGGGTCATCACACTACTTTTTATGACAAGTGTCAAGTGACATCATAAGCGAGGGGGGGAACCCTTTGCAATTCAGTGTAAACGTTAGTGATGGCGAGATGAAGCCCCAGGAGTCTTCGCACCATTTCAGCCATTTGGTTTGAGCAATGGTTCATTTCTTGATGCTTCATGTGCACACAAAACCACCTCCTGGACATGTGTAAATGTTTCCCATCCTGTCACATGGTACAATACAACTTTATTCATATGGCGCATTTCACAACGGATTTTTTTCCCCTTCCCATTGCAGTGTGAATTTACTCACTTTTCTTGGAACAGAAACACCTCACCGTTGAATAAAATAAACTATGAAATTAAAATCAAAAACAAGATAGACTGAGGGTCGAGGTCAGACCTCTTCTGTCCACTGATTTGAACGTTGCGCACTCACCCGCTACGCTAAGTCTAAGCGCTGAAACAAACACCGCAAACAACATCTTTTGTATGGATTTCCAGGAGTGTGTAGTGTGACTGTACACTTGCACAGCCAAATTACCTCAAACTAAACGCTGCTAGAACACTTCAAAGTTTACAAACTACGATACCTTTGTCCAAACGATGAGATGGCCACAACTATCAAAACACGCACGCACACACTTGAATGGGGCCACTCCTGAGGGGCAAACCTGGCAAACATCGCACAACAATCTCAAGCACTTCCCGAATCGGCCACGTGGTACACCAGCCAGGGAGGCTTTGAACGTCATCCTTTTCAGCTGTTACCCTGAATGAAACAAGCCTTGATACACACGTTGCGGAAACGTCGCCTTCATTACTCGATAAACGCTTCGAAGCCTCGACACGTCTTGTAGCATCACTAGTAAACACGAACGAGAGTTGAGTATGTAAGGACATTCCCACATTCACCGTCCAAAACAAAGAGACAGAATCTTCAAAGTCGTCAAACAGTCATAATGTAACAAGGCTTCATCGAGAAACTTCAGCAAGTGTGTTTTGCTTCTCTTCGACTTTTTCTTATGTTGTTGACACCTCAGAAGTCTTAACAGTACCGGCGGGTCGGTGTGATGATGACTACAGAACAGAGCTGACTTACTACGGCTTATTACAATATGAGCCACAGTAATTAAATGTCAGTTCAAATGATTTTTTTCAGTTGCCCTGTTGAACAAAGAACAAATTAATACCTAAACAAAAATGGAGCTGAAGCTTAAGTTATGACACATGTATTATTTCCAGCAATGTTTATAAAATTCCACTAGGTCAGGGGCCCCCAACCTTTTTTGCCCCAAGGACCGGTTTATGTCAGACAATATTTTCAGGGACCGGCATTTAAGGTGTGGCGGAAATAATACAACAAAATATGGTATGAGCTGCATGAAAATTGTGGTGTTTTCGAAATATAATAATAAACACAAGGAGCGTCTAATCTGGCC